AATAAATTGTTGACCTGATCAGCATTTATGCCACAATTCTCCCTGATGATGCGTCCCTCTTCCAACGTGACAGCCATAGAAGTTCGATCCTTACCGCTTTTACAGGTCAGTATAGCTAGCCCATTCAGTGCTGCATTCACGCACATCGCTAGTCGAAATATGCTCATATTCTTGTTCGATGGACACGTATTCACCTGGAAATTTCGCGATTTTAACGCAAAATTAGTCAATTTGCTAGCCATTTAGCAATAGTTGATAGAGCAATGTAAAAGAAATTGAACTTACTGACCGCTATGCATAATTCATTGATAACATCCGAGACACACGCATCCAGCTGTTTCATACCACTCGCATATGCTTGTAACGAATTCGCTGCCACAATGTTGATGGTCTCCTCCAGCGATGAATCACCGGCTATCGACTGTGCGAAAGTTGCCTCATGATTCACACCCATATTCCAGAATATTGCCACCACATTCAACCATTGTCCACCGCGTAACTTCTCCGGTAATCCCTGCGATTAATATGCTAGGTAAGACCTTTGTGATCATTCATGCGGCGATTCCATTACGAATAACGTTCGCTTGACTGCGAGGTGCTTAGGATTATAGTTGTTGGTTTCTTGGAATGATATGAGAAATGGTAATAGAACAATATAAAAACCTGGAAGATGTTCGAGGGGAGTGGTATCTGAACAGTGAGTTTTGCACGATCTCCACCAATCACTGGAATACACGTTGAACTAACGGATGAGGTGCACTGNGATGACCAACACTCGCGTGCATCCTCCATCATGCCTCGCTCATCACCATAGCACGACAACAACGAAAACACCTAACAATACGCTTTTATTATCTAAAAATCGCTATTCATTGTCTTCAAAGAAGAGAATCTCAATTAATTTCTTGTCTTGAACACAACGAGATATTCGAAAAGCAATAATGTTTCGAGCGATAATTCAATAATCACATTCATTTCCAACTGATCATTGTGAATTAATTTTGTTTTCATTATTTTTTTGATCTGCTTTCTCATAGAGAACGAAGACAGGTCGCAAGGTAAACAGTGAATGATAGAACCGATCAA